GTATTACTAATACGATATGATAGGCTGGTGTCCCTAAGTGAAGATACTTCACCCTTCAAGCATTGACCGGTGTGGGGTCTGCAGTCAGCGACACATCCCAGGCGTGATATCAGAACCACATGCATACACGCTATGGGTTGGACTTGATGGACTTGTGTCTTAATTCAACCTGAAATACTATGTAACTATACTATGTATACAGCTATCTGCTCCCCATTCAGACCTCCAATCCCGGCTCCGGCACCAACTTCCATTGTGCCTCAGAGATGTCATGTGACTGAATTCTTAGACCTCCAATGGAAGTTATGGAACATGGGGAAAGGTGAAACCATGCCCATCAGGAAGGCCCACTTTTCACTATGCCCACCAATGAGGCAGCACGGCACACGTTCTTTAGATAGCAGAAAGGGCAAGTTGGTGGCATTGGCTCCCCAGGCCAAATGTTCCTACTTCCCCCTCTGGGGGCATCTAAGGATAGCAATACATTACTTAGACAACTGATGTTCCACATCCTCAAATTTGGGGCCCCGGGTTGCGTATCAGTGGTCAGGGCCTGAAAAGGAGTGGCCAGTGTATTGCAGACTTTCTGGGGACCACGGGGTCATGCAGTTTGGGGGTCCAGCAGTACTTTTAGCTGTTGCCGGGTCCGGTCCTCCAATCACCTGCTCTGTAAACGCCTTTTTTTCTGTCTTTCCAAACCAGTTTGCATGAGCCTGCGGAGGAGGGGCCAGCTCCGAATTTGCTCAGTGAATCTGTTGCACGCAGTGTGGTCACCATTTCCATTGAGGAATTTCCTCTGCTGTGCGTTATGATCGGGACGTAGGACAAATTGTGACGAGCGGATGCTGAAAAGTTCAGAGCTGGTTCCGTCCCGTTCTCATTTCACCGTCCACCCGATGGAAGCTCATTGCCTGAACGTCATGTGACCTCCCTATAGCAGGACAGAGAAGCGCCCGGCCGTCATGTTGGTGCACACAGGCACTGTCCTCCTCACACAATGCTTTGCTATGGGCAGAAATATATTATATACCACTCCCTCTATACCCGTGGCACACGGAGGCAATGGGCAGGCTTGTCCGTGTTCTCTGGTAACAGAGGGATGAGCCGGGATCAATATACAGCATCAGTCACTTGATTCATGCAATCTATACAATCTGATTGGTGGAAAGTGTCCCTGCCACCAGCAGCAACCAGTGTGACTCCAGTTTCTGTTTCTACGGCAAGAAATAAACAGAGGGGGCATCTGGTTGTCACGGAACACGGACACCGTTTCCTTACATGTTCTTGATATGTGAATCTTTGCAGTACAATATCCTTACCACATGACCCAATAGTCTCATTTGCCCGCACATGGCCTATGCATGTGATCCCAGTGAAGTGTCTGAGCTGTATATTGCCCAACATCCCGCTGTGGGTGTGAGATTCGTGGTCTGCCACGCCTGTTAATTCACATTGCCTCCAGCCAAAAGATCCCAGTACAGTGGTACCGAGCCCTCACTGTGCCACGGATCGCTGCCTGCCAATCACCACTGGTGGACAGGACCCCATTACCCATGTAAAGCAGCAACCCCATCTGCACTGCATTTGTCATTTGCAAGCAATGTTTGCTGACCGAGCCTCTGCATCTCCCAAACATCGCCCGTGGTAGGAGGGCGGCTGAGATTTCCTCCGGAAATTTGGCGGCAGATGTCTTTTTTACCCATACCGGGGGTCCCTGTCTTTCAGGGCTCAGTATCTCAGGCATGGAAGATGGCACAAGACTTCTGAATCCTGAGTTCAAGAGAGTGGGAACTGGCGTGGCAAAAGGTACCAACAACAACAACGTGATGTATTCTCAGGGTGGGGAGTTGGGGCCTGCTGCTCTAAAGATCTGTGCTGAATGAAGGTGACTGTACGTGCTGCAGGTGGTCACTCGTAGTCCTGATCCAGGTCCTCACAGTAGGTCCTTCCAGGCTCACACGGCTATTCACAGAAGGGTGAAGGGAGGAGAAGGGAGGAGAAGTGAGGAGAAGGGAGGAGAAGTGAGGAGAAGGGAGGAGAAGTGAGGAGAAGGGAGGTGAAGGGAGGAGAAGTGAGGTGAAGGGAGGTGAAGGGAGGAGAAGGGAGGAGAAGGGAGGTGAAGGGAGGTGAAGGGAGGAGAAGGGAGGAGAAGTGAGGTGAAGGGAGGTGAAGGGAGGAGGGAGGAGAAGGGAGGTGAAGGGAGGAGAAGGGAGAAGAAGGGAGGAGAAGGGAGGAGAAATGACGTGAAGGGAGGAGAAGAGAGGAGAAATGAGGTGAAGGGAGGAGAAGGGAGGAGAAGTGAGGAGAAGTGAGGTGAAGGGAAGAGAAGTGAGGTGAAGGGAGGAGAAGGGAGAAGAAGGGAGAAGAAGGGAGGGGAAGGGAGGAGAAGGGAGGAGAAGGGAGGAGAAGGGAGGAGAAGGGAGGTGAAGGGAGAAGGGGGGAGGAGGGAGGAGAAGGGAGGAGGAGGGGGGAGGAGGGAGATTGGAGAAGGGAGGAGAAGGGAGAAGAAGGGAGGAGAAGGGAGGAGAAGTGAGGTGAAGGGAGAAGTGAGGTGAAGGGAGGAGAAGGGAGAAGGGAGGAGAAGGGAGAAGAAGGGAGGAGAAGGGAGGAGAAGTGAGGTGAAGGGAGAAGGGGGGAGAAGGTAGGAGAAGTGAGGTGAAGGGAGGAGAAGGGAGGAGAAGGGAGGAGAAGGGAGAAGAAGGGAGGAGAAGGGAGGAGAAGTGAGGTGAAGGGAGAAGTGAGGTGAAGGGAGGTGAAGGGAGAAGGGAGGAGAAGGGAGGAGAAGGGAGGAGAAGTGAGGTGAAGGGAGAAGGGAGGAGAAGTGAGGTGAAGGGAGGAGAAGTGAGGTGAAGGGAGGAGAAGTGAGGTGAAGGGAGAAGAAGGGAGGAGAAGTGAGGTGAAGGGAGGAGAAGTGAGGTGAAGGGAGGAGAAGGGAACAGTCTGGGACAACATCGCTGATTGGGAAAAATTATCTAATTC